AGAAAATAATCTTACAACCGTAGGCCATTGCTTAGAAAAATTACTCACATAAGTGTCTTAAATATTTAATTTGGTAATTTATAATGTTTTACAAAAGAAGACTGTTAAATTTTTTATGGAGGTTGGTAGTGGGTCTTTCGGCTTTAAAAAACTAGAATTTTATTTTATTCCGGTTTTTTATATTAAAATAACATAAATCTATAATAAATAATTGATTTGCAAATGGCAAGTTTATTTATCTATTTTTTTTGCCAAGCATCAAATATATTATGTTCAATGTGTTACAAAAGCAGTGATAATAATTCTGATAAAAAGTGATTGAGTTGACGTTATAAGCCACCACGCACTAAAAATATGACGTTACTAAGATAGGGTGGCCAGCACACTTACAAAATTGTTTAATTACTAAACACGATTTTAAATTAATCGGTAATGAATAAAAAATCAAAGTATCTATTCATGTTATACAAACTTTCAAATTATATATATTTTGTCCCTGCCGGAAACCGACCACCGCTTTTGAACCATATCCCTTAGTTAAAGTATGTTTTTATAATAAGCAATTTCTCGTTAATTGTAAAAATATGATTAGAAAACATTTTTTTATAAAATGGAATATGAAAATATTACATTGGTATTTTATTTTATGAATATTTAGAATACATAATAATTATGCTTCAATAGTTAATCTGAGTGATATAAAAACTGTATGTATAATTTAGTTAAGACATCTGATAAAAAAACATTTCTATCTAAAAGTAAAATAACAAAATCTGTGATTTGATTATTATATTATATGGTTTGTTGCTGATGATTGATGTTTCGAATTTTATAAATATGTTGATTTTAAATACTTACATTTATAATCTTTGTGCTTTTATTTATTTTATCAATATTTAGAATATATAATAATTGTGCTTAATCTGTGTGATATAACAAACCATATTTATAATTTAGTTAAGCTATTTGATAAAAAATAATTTCTATTGGCTTTAAAAGTAAAGTAAAAAATCTGTGATTTGATTATTATATTTTATATAAATATTTATATTGGTTTTTTACTGATGATTAGTATTTTGAATTTTATAAATATGTTGATTAAATACTTAGATTTATAACCTTTGTGTTTTTATGTCTTATACAATGTTACTTTACTACACGACTGTACTTTACCGTTCCAAAAGAATTAGCCAAATAGTTAAGAGCTCCAATAGCTCCCGTTGTGTCGTTAAGTACGTCTTTGAGGGTCCAATAGGCACCATGTTCTTGATAGGAGGTCGAACGGGCACTTTTTTGTAGGTAAGGTCCAATTAGGAGGGTCCAATGGGTACTAGACCGGATTTTTTTCTAATCTGAATAAAAATTAAAGATTATAAATACTTTTTATTCTTAGTCAAATTAATATTTGGAGTCGGTGTCATGGCAACCCAAGTAGTAAATGGGAACTCAAATCTAGCAGACATGCATGGCACCGACACCAAATATTAATTTGGCTAAGATCTAAAAAAAAAATTTATTTCTTTTCGGCGCGGCGGTATAATTTTTTTGTTAAAAAGTTTTTGTTTTATAATTTTTGTGGCTATCATATTCCTATCCTTAGAATAGGACTTTTTTTTTATTTATCTGGGAATGACCAACTTCCAGGTGTAATACCTGGAAGTTGTATACAATACAAAAATCGGACAACTCTGTAAAAAGTTATGCGTGATCATACATAAAAAAATATACGCGTCGAATTGATAACCTCCGTCATAGATTCACCTAATTGTGAAATTTGTGGTACAGTCCATGACGTCCAGCTCATGCTTGTAAACTACTAAGTATTATCTTAAGACAATGTCATTATTGCAAAAACAATATAAATTCCGGTGTAGGGATATTCGCAAGAATATTGGCAGATCCGCAATCGGAAGTATTCAAAAGCCTTATATATTTTTTGCAACAATGAATCGCCGTAGTTTTATATGAATTTTGTAATTTGTAATGTTAGGATATAATGGGGCTGGCATATCCTTTATTTTAGGTAAAAGCCTCTAAATTTTTTTTTAATGCATAATAGGCAATGCGTTTGACCACAATGACCTGATGGAAAGCGATCATGAGGCGATACGTATAAATTCGATTAAAAAAATGACGTGCATTTAGGTCTCCGAATCGGTACACCTAATCAGGAAACCGAATCATTAAGCCGTAAATATGCGCCCAGCCTAAGGAGGTAAATATTTATGAAACAAATTTTTCCACACAGACAAAGCTATTACAAAAATGAATTAGTAATAACAATTAAAAATAAGAGCAATTTCGACGCGGTCCGTGAGGGCCGCGGTAGCATAATTGGTCAGTGCATTCGCCCGGATTGCAAAGGGTGAGAGTTCGAGTCCCGTCTGCTGCCTGGTCCGCGTGGAATTTTTTCTAGTTATATTTTCTTTAGATTTAAACATCAAGCAGTTTCATGCTTTAAAAAATAAAAATTATAACTAGTAATAACAATTTTTCCAGTATTTTTTTAGATTTATAAAAAATAATAGTTCCCCTTCAACCTTTTCCGTGAAGATAGCAAATAAATAATAGGATATTTAAAGAAACCATCAATATTTTAATTATTATTAAGCTACGACTATAAAATTGTATAAAAACCTGCAATACATCTTACTACATGTATTTGGAGTGTTTGGAAATATATTATTCAATCACATTAATTAACTGCTAATTAATGTAGCTGAAATTTGGCACAGATATTTGTAAATTTATTATTCAATCACACATAATTTCATGCCTAATGAATTCAGCTGATATTTGGCACAGATATTTGATTGATCGTTTCTATTTTTTTTTAAAACCAATTAGCCTAGCCCCAAAGCACTGTAAGGCTTGTGTTATGGGATGCTAGGGTAACGGATAGAATACATATACAATTCTTAAATATATTTATGATTATATTTGATACTTTTATCCGCATTGGTTTTTCCGGAAAGATGTTAGATTCTAGTGGCATTATCAAAAAACCAACTACAAAATGTGTTGGTTTTTTGATAATGCTTTGGTAGCATAATGGTCAGTGCATCCTCCGCTATTCGAGCGGATGCACTGACCATTATGCTACCGCATTCGCGTAGTGTATATATTCTGTGCCGCAGCCCTAATTGTGGGTTGCCTACAATGCGAAGGTATAGCGCTGCCTTGTAGCCTAAGAAATACTAGAGAAAATTCGACACAGACAATTAGCGCCGAGATAGCTTAATAGTCAGTGCATCCGCCCGGATAGCGGCGGGTGCGGGTTCGAGTCCCATTTGTCTGCGTGGATTTTTTTCTTGTAGAATTTTCATTTAAATGCTTACAAAAAATTTACTCTTAATGATTACTTAAAAACTTGATTAATTTCAATAAATTCCTGTGCATATTAATCATCATGAAACTTTCTGTAGGTATAACTTTGATAGTTGTAAGTTTTATATTTTTTAAGAAAATCAAATTAGAGTTTCTAAATAGCAAATGACCTTATTTATTTGCTGTCCATTGTATTATAAATGTGAAAGTTTGCATGTTTTTGTGTTTATAACTCAATCACGCAAAAACTACTACACGGATTTTGATGATGGTATGCATATAATTTATGACATTGGATACTTTTATCCCGGACTTTTTTAAATTAGGTTACTGTGCGATTCTCAAAAAAAAAAGTCGCACGCGCGGCTGCTTCACACACATAAAGTAATTCTGATTTGGACTGACATGATTTCGTCTATATTCTCACATCTGGAGCGCAGTTAACCCAAAGATCCCATTTCAATTACAGGCACGCTCAACGAATTAGACAGATGGTATTTTAAAATAATGCCCTGATTTATGAAATTGGCTTTATTTCTTGATTCATTTCTGTGCTTTACTTTCTTGAACCAAATACCATTGTAATATTTTTCTATTACTGATAGAAGCTTCCACTCTATTGCAAAAGCATCTTCGCTAACTCGTTAATCATATTATGTACCTACATTAAATTAAAATTTCTTAATATCAACATCCTATCCTACTTCCTACTAATATTATATATGTGAAAGTTTGTATGTTTGTTACTCAATCACGCAATCTACTACTGAACGGATTTGGATGAATTTTGGTACGCGTATAGTTTTGGATTATTAAAATTAAAAATTACTGGATTGAGATATACGATACTTTTATCCCGGAAAACTTTTAGTTTTCTGTGGGAATCAATTCTCAAAAAACTAAGTTAATGCGGACGAAGTCGCGGGCGGCCGCTAGTCAACTATAATTTTAATAAAAAGAGTATGTAGAATATGATTGAGTCAATACAGATGTCATAACGTTGACAAAGTTAGGCACTTATCATACCCGATTAGATTAGATAAAAATGAACGAAGGTCAGTGAACCACCTATTAGTATTGACCCTTCTTAATAAAATCGACCTCCGTTTTGAGCAATCATAGGTAACTACGTATGTATTCATTCAATAATAGGAAAGATGGAATGGAAATATTTTCTTAAAGACTTACAGGAATATGAGATTGAATCTAATGGAGTCTACTAGTGTGTCGTGCTATTTCGGGATTATATTTTATTGAATAGAAACCCTTGAAAAAATTTGGTTCTATAAACCCATAATATTAATAATAATATTCTTCTCACATAAAACTCACTCAAAACATACAAATGAGACCATCTCTATTTATAAGTAGGTATTGTGAGTAATTATATAGAGGTAAAGCAAAACAATATGAGGTGAAATATATCACATACGAGATACATCTTGTACGTCTTGCAATATGCTGCAATGGGTATAATATTAAATCCTACTATACGAGTAGGTACTACTTCCTATCCTACCCTACTTCCTACTAATGGCCTAATTCCTGCTAGATTGACACATAGGATACTTTTCACCCCGGAAAACATTAGATTCCTGTGGGATAACCCAAAAAACTAACTTTAACGCGGACGAAGTCGCGGGCGTAGGCTAGTGCTTAATGTTGGTACGTACCCGCGTATCGGCCGTATTTAAACCGCTGGCAATGGCATTGATGGGCCTCCAGATGTCTGGCGTACCAATCAGCCCATTCTTGAGATCATTTTGAAACAGCTTCGAGTCGAAATTCCAAGTAGCAGCGCCTACGGTTCTTCTTTTCTCTAAAATAGATTTCTGAGCTATGGCCTCAGCTTTCGTAGATTTAAAACTAGTGAATGTTTTCTCTAGAAAACCAGTCTTAGCTTTAGGCTCCTCGCGTTCTGTGACTTTATTAGTTTTTTTCGCGTCTAGTGTTTTACTATTTTTTCTCTTGTCCGTCTCTGGTTTTGGTGGTTCGAGTATGGCATAAATTGTGAGCGACAAAAAATGGCCGGCGACTAGAGTCTGAAGGTCGACCTTGTCAGCCGGCCTCTTTGCATCTTTAAGCTTCAATTGGAATTTAAAATCTTCATTCCAAACTGGCCATGAACTCTCTTGTAAGGATGTCTCAAATTTGCTGTCGCCGGGAAAGATTTTCACCTGTAAAAAAGTAATTTATTGCTTCAGACACTTAAGTAGATAAACAGGAGAAGAAACTCAAAAGGAAATCGTTATATTGATTGTATTATTATTGAGATAACAGTCCAAAACAGAAATTAGGTTAATTCTGGTCTTAACTTTAATACACACATCAAAAGTGTCTAGGGATCAACATATATTTTTGCAATAACTTTTCTCCTGATTGATATTAATTAAAATTTTCTTTAAGGATTCATCAAATAAAGTGTTTTCGTTTGTCACAGTAACGATAAACCAAGTCACCTTTGCATTAATAAAGAAATTTGCCATTTTCCTAATAAAGGGATTTTTGACATTTGAACCACTAACACAAAAGTTCGAAAAAAAAGACTGAAATAACAGTTTTCTCTAAAATTTTATTGGGTAACTGAAACAATTAATAATCCGTATTTCTACCGCGAACACTAACAACACAAGAACATCGGTTTGGCATACTCAAAATGAGTTCATCCAAATCACGCTGTGGAATGGCCGCCCATGTTCGTTGCAACAACAAAAAAAGGTCTTCTTGCGACTGGATACCCTCCATATTCGGCAGAGCTCTTCTCTGTAGCATATCCCATGCATGCTCAATCGGGTTCAAGTCTGGCGACTGAGCAGGCCAGGGCAGGACATTGATGTTAGCTGCGGCGAGAGTCTGTCTTACAACTCTTGCGGTGTGCGGTCGTGCATTATCATGCATTAACTGAAATAAGGGACCGATTTGCACTTGTAGAGGAACGATGACGTCTGATACAATCGTCTCAGCATAAATTTGAGCGTTGAGGTTGCCTCTGATCCAAATCAACTCAGTTCTTCCGCCGATCCAAATACCCGCCCATACCATGATGGTTCCACCACTATAAGGATGGACTTCCTGGCAGGATTTTAATCGCTGTTGGCGTCCAGGGGTTCTCCAGTGTCGTATACGTCTTGTATCCGGTCTCATACCAAAACGAGACTCATCAGAAAAGCACACGAAACGCCATTGTTCTTCTGCCCAATTTCTGTGTTCAAGAGCCCATTGATATCGAATCCTACGATTGTGCATTGCTATAGGTGGTACCCGTAGCGGTCTTCGGGAATGAAGGTTCACTTCATGCAAGCGGTTTCTGACTGTTTGGTCGCTAATTAAGTTCCCTGAAGAGTGATGAAGCCTCACGGCTAACATCATGGCGGTTATTGTTGGAGCTCTTCGAGTTAAGATTTGAATGTATCGGTCTTGTCTCCGTGTGGTGCAGCGATACCGTCCTCCATGGCGCTCAGCCACGGTACCAGTGCTTCGGTATCGTGTCCAAAGTCGACTGATAACACTCTGACTTGTATTCAGAGCTAAAGCCACAGTACGTTGCCGGGAACCAGCTTCTATCATTCCCACGGCTCTGAGCATTTCTTCCCTGCTTAAATGACGTCGCCGCTCCATAATAACGTTGGTTTTAATCAGTAGTAGGGAAACAGTAGCACTAATAATGTCTTCAATGCGTTGTATGTTTTTATAGGGAAAATATTGACAGCTGATTTTCATCTTTTACTCGAATTTGATTCACAGTTCCTGATTCAAATTATGAAATGCACCAAAAAGGATCCATATAAATTTATAAAATCATAAATTTATTACAAAGCCACATCTCAATCTCAAGAAATCCGCATAAAAATGCTTGATCCCTAGACACTTTTGATGTGTGTACATATATTATTTATTAGGTACATTCCAAAAAAATCATTGTTTTAAGCTATAATATAAGTAGGTATGTTAATGTCAGAACATTTTGCGATTGATAACAACAATACTTTAAAGAGTGCCGTGTAGAGGACGAAAATATATAAATACTTAGTCTTTTTATTATTTGAAGGTTAACCTGATAAATCATACCTATTAAACTGCAAAGTTTAGATAGGTACCTAAATACATAGCATAGGTTGCACTGTTTCATCTATAGCTAATTTTACTATACATGATAGAAGGTAAATAGAAATCTCAAATACTGATATGAGATATGAACAATGTTGACTATTTGTGTCATGTACACAATTATAAAATATTATCAGAAAGTAAATAAATGTCCAGTCCACAAAGTATCGACTCAGTAAGTACAGCTTAATTATGCCATCACAAAGTGTACGAGATTTCTATTTACCTCGTATCATGTATAGAGACTGCTAAACAAAGACGAACCAAATCATGCCCGAAACCTGTCCACAAGGTACATTGGACGATCCACGGAGCTCCGTAAGATGATCGCGTAGTCTAAACAATTTAAGGCATTATTTAAACATTGAAAATCACTTTTAAAGCGTACTGTATAAGGTCATAATTAAAACGCACGCGTCATAGAGTTATGACAGTCCGATATGTAAGCTCGTAAAATTTTACGACCCTTTGCTATATGCAGAAGAATAAAGACCATATTTCTTTGACTGTACGCGCAATTCTGAATGCGCTATTGGTAATATAGCAGGTACGGTCCGCAAGGAAAAGATACGGTCATATCACAAATATTTTCCATTAAATCTGTTTATAGTAAAATTTACTTCAAATGCGTTAAATTAACAAACATTGATTAGATACCTGTCGAAAAAACGTCATTTTACATTCTTTATGTATTTCTTTCGCGTGTTTTCACGGAGCTCAGCGGTATGTTGTCTTTTCAACGCGTGACTGTGAATCAAGAAGTGCTTGAGTAGTGTTCAAGCACTTCTTGATTGGGACACATTTTGGGCGCACGTGGTGTATCTAGGGAATTTAATATCGTTGCTGCTAAATCACAAAAGTTAGAATTCTTATACGTTAAGCAACCCTACGCGGCGGCAACTCAGGCCGTCGGACAGCACCTTTAGACATCATCCATGACTAGAGTATAGACACTTAAATTATTCACATATAGTTACATAATGCTTCCACTAGGAATCTAAGTGTGTCTTAGGTATTGCAATTAGAACCGCTAACTGGACAGTTAGTACCCGCCGGCCGGCGCTTCGGGACGGCATTTTGATGTTTTCTTACCCAGAAATTTTAAACGAAACACACTTACCTACCCCAAAAACGCATTACATTAAGTACAACTCCACGCTATATCTCCCGAAGGGATGGCCGGCAGTACAAACAAAGTATCAAATGGTTTAAAATGTTATAAACATTATCAGACCACCACTACCTTACAGAAGACTACATTAAAATCACAATAAATTCAATGGCGTACAATTAATAATAAAATACTAAATTGTTATTGATTAACTGATAAATTCGTCGTGTAATTAATTATAAAACCTATTTCGATGCTTAACATCGAGTAAACATGTAAGTTAGCACTAGATTCATAATAATAATAATAATCATCTTTATTTCAGAATATGGTAACAAATGGTGATACAGAGATAAAGAGCATCCTATATTCTTACCCAATGGGGTGTGCAAATTAATTGTCATGTTGTTTGTTTCATGTATTTTGTGACGGGTATTGTTCTGCTACCGCTGACACTTTTCGTAACGCGTAACGCATTTGAAGATAAATAAATATTTCCAACACTCACACCCAGCCTAGCCCAAAGTAAGCACTGTAAGGCTTGTTATGGGATGCTAGGGTAACGGGTAGAATACATATACAGTACATATATAAGTATATTTATATAGAAATACATATTAAACATCCATGACTGGAGTACAAATGCTCGTGTTCATCACACAAACATATGCCCCCACCGGGATTTGCACCCGGGACCCCCGAGTCGGCGACACCATGAAACCCGGCGTACAAACCACTCAGCCACGGAGGTCGTCAATTTGCTAGCTTACCCCCCAAGTCAAGCGTGCCTAAAGAAGTTTCACTTCTTAATATTTTTTGGTGGTGTTGAGTTTCTGCCGGTGGGTTAGATTCCATGCCTCCACGGGGTAGGGGATTGGTTTAGGGTAGGCAATGGTGCGAGTGATATTTTTGGTATCGCAAGCGTCTTTAGCCTATGGTGGCCGTTTACAATCAAGCGGGCAATACACTTGTTTGCAATCCTTTTAACATTAAAAAAACTAAAGACTACCTGTAAATGTCTGCGAGCCTACAATTTGTACAAGATAATACCTACTAACTTATCTCATAAAATAAAAAAATACTCTCAATTGTTACCCAACCGACCGTTTATAAAAAACAGAACACAAGAGGGTGGCCCAATTCATGAAATCACTAAGTCCTAAAAGTTACTTTTGAGATAGTAATAACATTTTATGATGTTAATTGAGTGTTGAAATAACATGCGAAGAACGTCTATCCCTTGTCCTGCTAATTTTAAAACCGTACTATTATTTGCCTACTCGGATTTTGTGAATGTCCTGTGTGCATATATTGATAATAATAACATTAAATTGTAGCTATAATTACGTCACAACAATATCAAACTAAAAACTATATTTTTTAATGATAACATTTTAATAATAATAATGATAACATTAAAAATTAACCCTAAAATATTAATATGATACATATTCACAAGAAGAATATATCATCCAAAGTTCTAATTTGGGGCATGGTACCTAGAACACTGGCAGCATTACCTCGCTCAATGGCTAAACTGATTCTCTGCGCGAAATAGCTGCCAGCCCTCTGATCACCCGAAGAGAGAATCAGTCGATTCGACATATCCTTCATAAACCGCTTCATGTCAGCCGACCACGACCCTAACGTCTAGAAAGCTAACGCCGCAAACACATAATCTTCAGTTATAGAAGAGTATTTACGACGCTTGAGAACCTGAGCACGGTCGGCTGCGGCCCCAACTTTAGTACAAGTTTCATGTATATAAGAAGGAGCCAGCGTGTGTACGCAAGTAACATCAAACACCAAAGTGCGGCCCAGTCTCCACGGCACAAGCGTAGCACCGTCAGGTCTCCTGCCATGATCTCTATATAGACCACATGGTTCTAATGTAGCCGGTATAGAAACCGTTTTTTGGTTTTGTACGTAGGTACCAAATCATTAACTGTACCGTGGCGA